TTCAAGTAACTCAGAGGAAATAAACATCCTCTGAGTAAGTTTATTTTGAAAGTACATTACTCCGGGCTGGGGCTGGGGCTCAGCTGTAGTGTGCTTGTCTAGCACATGCAAGGCCCTGGGTTTCATCCTCAGCACCACATAAAAATAAATAAATAAAATAAAGGTATTGTGTCCAACTACAAATAAAAAATAAAATATAAAAAAGAAAGCACATTACTTGTAACTTCTCTAGTAAAAAAAAATCATCTCTCAAAAATCCATGGAATTGTACAAAATGGTATTCTTGTTGTATAAAGTGTGCATACTCCTTTCTTCCTGAGGATGCGCAGAACCTGTGAATAAATTGGGACTTCACTCTTATGAGTATGTAAATAGTTACAAGGTAAATTTGAGGGGATTTTATGATGTTATCAATTAAAGTACCTAATTAGTTGATTTTAATCAAAAGGGAGATTTTCTTGACCAAATGAAGTGAAACTTTAAACCTGGGACTACCTTGAGAAAACAAAACTGTCATGTTGTGAAAAGGACCACATGAAAGGGAATGGAAAAAAAACTAAATGCTGAGGGCCTCTCTGTTCTACAGTGTCAGGACACTGAATTCTGCCAATAACCCTCAATTTTAGAAGCAGAACTCCAGCCTCAGATGTGACTTCAGTGCAACTGAAACCCTGATTGCAGCCTGGTCAGACAGTGAGCAGAGAACCCAGTTAAGGGTGCCTGGACTTCTGACCCATGAACATTCTGAGATAACAAATAGGAATCGTTTTGAATCACAAATTTTGTGGTAATTTACACAGCAATGGAAAATTAGTACAGGGACTATTGTGACCAGTCTTCAGTTCTTGTTTTTGCAAAATTATCTTCTGCTCTTTGTTCTAGTCCAAGACATCTATCTATGGAAGATTTATAAATATGCAAATCACCCTCCACATGTTTGGGCATGCCATTACCCCAGGGAGAGCGGGCATGAAGAAACAGTTAAATGCATGGAAGTAGAACAGTGCTATTCACCAGAAATTTCTGTGGTGAAGATCATCTATATCTGTGTTGCCTCTGTGGTAGCAACTAGACACAGGTTGCTGTTAAGCACTTAAAATATGGTTAGTATATCTTAAGAACTCAATTTTTAATTCTATTTTACTTTAGTACATATGAATTTGAACAGCCACCAGTGGCTACCAGAGTGGATACTCCACTTCTAGAATCAGAGCATCTGGATCAAACTTACAGCTCCATTACTTAGCTGTATGACCTTGCACAAATTCCTGCACCTCTGTGCCTTACTTTTCTAATACTTATGTCTGCCTCACAGGGTGGTTATGAGCATTAAATGAACTATTACTTCTGAAGTACTCAAAAGACAATCTTGGGGCTAAGGGTTATAACTCAGTGGTAGTGCAAATGCCTACCATACTCAATGCCCTGGGTTCCATCCCTGGTACCCCTTACACACATAATAGTGCCTTGTACATAGTCAACAATATATGTCCATCTATAAATTAGTAGATTCTACTGTCTCGTTTTTTTGCCATCTAGAACATGTCTGTTTACTTCTTAAATCTAGAGATTCTTCCTTCTCTACAAGAAAGCTTTGGGATCACTCCAAACCACACAATATTTAATGGTCTGTCACATTATTTTGGCACCTACCTACATACTGCATTGAATTGTTATTTAAATATCTATGGGTGTATTTTCTGACTCTAAGATTGAATGGTCCTCAATGAAAATTACTATATCTCATGTGACATTTTGTATCTCCCAGTGCCAAATAGGCATCAGTTTATCTGAAAGATACTCCATAAACATTTGTTGATGTTTGTATAAGGCCTTGAATTACATGGAGGAGAAATGAGAGGCAATACTTTTCTTATGTAATACAGTACTTTTCTTATGTAACTAAGGTATTACTAGGCACAAGTAACATTTTCATTGTTGTTTGTTTTCTTTTTTTTTTCTTTTGCCATGTTGATAATGGAACCTAGGGCCTCATGCACCTGGGCCTCATGCATGCTAAGCATGCACTGTACCACTGAAGTATACCTGCAGCCCAACATAATATCTTAAACATTCTGTTAGGTTTCTAGCTTTTAAGACCTGATGGAAGGGGTATTTGGACCCTAGATTGAGAAGTGTGTAAAGAAGAGGCTGGCAATGATCCTGAGAAGAAATTAATCACAAGTAGCTCATAAACACTTCACCTAAAACATTTTCATCATTCCATAACAGGCCTAGAAAATATGTTTTTATCCTATGCAATGGCCCTGAAGATTTTCATTTTATTGATTGATAGATTGATTGATTGAACCCAGGGGAACTTAACCACTGAGCTACATCCATAGCCTTTTTAATTTTTTATTTAGAGACAGGGTCTTACTGAGTTGTTTAGGGTCTCACTAAATTGCTGAAGCTGGCTTTGAACTCAGGATCCTCCTACTTCAGCCTCTTGAGCAGCTGAGATGACAGGTGTGAGCCGCAGCATCCAGCAGCTCTGGAGATTTTCATAAGGCAGAATGTAGGTTTCCTTGTTAGAGACTAAAGACAGTCCAAAAAGATTTTGACTCTTTAGTCCTGAAGTGGCAGACTTTGCTGTAAGCTACTGGGGAAGGTACAAAATCTATTAGAAATTAGTTTTGTTGCACCTGGACCTCAATCCCAATTCTGTATGCAGGCATATTCTATTTGTGCCTTAAGCTCAGAGAGATAGCCTCCTTCCCACTATTCCTGCCCAGACTCTTCCTTGAGAGCCTGCTTCAATATGCCAAATTATTTGAAATTGCTTTGTTTGTAACAACAAAATTTTGGTCCTTATTCTGTCACACCTGTACCCTAACAACTCTTCACCAGAATATCAGCTTCTAGTTTTGCTTTTATACGTGGTGTGTGTGTGTGTGTGTTGCTGGGGATTTAACCCAGAGCCTCAGGCATGCTAAGCAAATACTCTACCATTGAACCCAACTCTCCATTTGATTACCTCTCTAGTTTAAGCCCTATGACTTGTCTCTAGGCAGCCTGCACAACCTCTATCCTGCTTGAATTCATGTTAGCTTTGCAAATTAAGGTTTTGCCTTACACCAGGCACACAACCTCAGGAGTTTCCTAAGATTTAGTGGGGAGGTACCAGGTTCTAGGGGCAGGAGAGTGATAAAGATGCTACCACTTTCCCAAATCATACCAAGTCACTGGCTCAATTCTGTGACACTATAACATGTGGCAGAGTGACAAAAAGTTCCTTCAAGGAGATTACTTAAGCTCATACTGAACTTTTTTGGTCATCAACCAACTCTTGTTTTTTTGTTTGGGGTTTTTTTAATGGTATAAATATTTTTCCTAATTTTTGGAAAAGCCAATGGACTTTTACTGTCAGGCATTTCCCCTTACACTTGACTGCATATCTGCATATAATTCAACTATCTAGTTGGTTAAGAAATAAAAAAAGAAAGAAGTATTAAACCCGCCCATGTAACACAGTAGGAAAGCAGTAAAAAAATAAATAATTTTAAGAAAAGCAGCAGACTCAGCAACTATAATACTGCTTATCATTAAGAGTTTCTCTGACTTTATTATCCATTACTAAGGTAGTGTTTTATTTTGGGGCATATTTTTTTTCATTAGTAAGTCTGCATACAGTATAACTATATTAGCAACAAACATTTTATTCTATGTAGAACATGACAATAAAATTTGAATCATGAATCTTATTAATAAATTCCAGTGACTTTTGGCCATTTAATAGTAGAAAATTAAATAATATTCTCATTGTTAGTTTGCATCACGATTCAAAACAAGAAATACAATTACCAAAAAAGTTTAGTTTAATTGTAAGATGTAAAGACCCTTGCTTTATGTATTGTAAGCATAATTATTTTTTAAGTTCTAGAATTGCAGAAATAGCCCCATGTTCTTCATTGAAAAGAATACAATTGATCAGTAATTCCTGCAAGTTGTATCATAATTAGACTACCAAAATGTTACACCTTCATGTTAATTGCAAGGAAGACCACTAGGAACTAGTTTAAATTAGTTAAGGCAACATAATTTCATTATAACAACATACAATAAGACAAGCATTCAATTAACAAAGCATTTCTAAGCATTTTTCATGTCTGGTAATGAAAACAATGCTGTCTATCAGGTGTGTTATGAACAGTAAACCAGACAATGCATATTAAATGTCTTGGCATAGAGACTAGACTAGATATTCAATAGAAATGGCAGTTGTATTATTATGGAAACCTAATGACCCTTGCCTTCTAGGAATAATCTTTCTTGACTCTCTTAATAAAATAATTTGAGATCCTCTTTGGAATCTTGGCCATAAATAACCCAGAGCCTTCCTGCATCTTCCAAATAATTTCCCAGGTGTGTGAATTCATTTGGCCTGCTTGTTCTTTCTACATGTGGCCCCAAACTGCCTCTTCCAATTTCTTTGAACCACTGCTGACTTTGATCCATATAGTGACCAAAATCCTCTTCAGCTCTGGACAACATTATATCTGAATGCAAAAGTAGAGTGCCTCTGTTCTGTCCCCAAAACAAGTTGTGATTAGCACATTGTGCTGAAATCTTGAGAATATTATAAGAATATTACAATTCAGAAAAGAAAAAAAAATTAGCTCAGTATCAGACATTACTGCCCCACTAACCAAAAGAACACCCCAATATGGAAGGTGTCTTGCAAACCAGCTGTTTAGGATTTCTTCTGCTACCATCATTCTCACCCCATTTCTAATGCTCTTAAGATTTTTTGTTTGTCCTATGGCAGGCCAGAGGGAATGGAAAATGCGTAAACATCCACAAATGCTTACATTTTTTGGCCCTCATCCTCCACCCAAAGTAAACTTCTGCATTATTGGAATAAGTAAGCATCCCACTCTGAATTATTTACACTTAGATTACTTTCTACAGCAAAGGACAAAGAATAAGTACTTGACATACTTCTGCATCTCAATAAGGCTCACAAATAATTCCTTCCAGAACAAAGAAAGACTACCTACCCCCATGGCCAGTCCCATTTACAGTCTTCCAGCTCCAGGAAGCAAATTTCCTGCAATTTTGAAAAGGAGTTTTATCTTTGCTGCCAGTCATCAAAGAATCAGAAATATTGAGAGTCTATCTTGGACCACCTCACTACAATGTGAGTAATATTAATAAGGTCTTGCCAAACTTTTTTAGTAAATGGATTTTTAAAAATTATTTAAAATTAGTACATTAACCATTTCTATACAAATAGGAGCTGCCAACTTTCAATTAGAAAGCAGTTGGTTTCTAAAGTAAGCCAACAATTACCCTGCAGATTTGTTGAGGGATTTTGTTGCAGATAGTACAAAGATAAATTTCAACCTAGTCTACATTCAAATAATCAAAAAAAATCTAATTAATGAGCTTTTGCCAAACTTTGAAGTCAGGCTTCAGTTTTTCCTAATGCTAACCCAACAAACCAGAATGACTGTATTTACATTTGGCCAAACATTCTTCAGCAGATGAAGACCTTAAACTTATCCTATTATTTTATAGAAGAAAAAATAGGTCTTAAGAGTTAGGTACTAAGATTTACACAGCTATTAAGTGTCTCCTGGGTTACGCTGTATATTTATTCTTAAAATACAAGATTCCTAGGATATACTTGTTTTAACTAAATTTTATGTGTTTGGATTAGCATCACCTGAATATAAAAGTTTAGTTTCTCATGTTAAAAAAAAAAAAAGAATACCCACAGGTAGGCAATTGAGGGCTTGTATGATGATTCCATATGGTCCTTAGGGACCCAAGCACATTCTAGGAATCTGGTCCCCCATGCTCAAGGGTAGTACTAGTCTCTATAGTTCAAGATATTATGGGAAGGGGATCTAGAAGGGCAGAATAAAAGCATCCTTCTCCCCTTATTAAGGAGACTTTTTAAAACTCCCAAATGACACTTCTATCCTCAATGACAAGAACTTCGTCACATGATCATGCTCAGCAGCAAACGTTGGGAATAATAGTTGTGTCAGTCAGCTTTTCTTCACTGTGAAAAAAAAATACTTGACAAGACCAACTTAAAAGGAGGAAAAGTTTATTTTGGATCATGATTTCAGAGGTTCATTTCATGGATTCCATTCCGCACTGTAGGTGAAAGATAATATCATGGCAGAAGAGTGTGGTAAAGAAAAATTGCTCAGTCAATGGTGGAATCAGAAAGAGAGGAGGAATAGAGGAGCACAGGATGGTACAAAATACAATTCCCAAGGTCACGACCCCAGTGATCCACATCCTCCAGCCATGTCTCACCTGCCTATAGTTACCACCCAATTCAGTAGTCCTTTTAAATTAGTAATCCATCAAATGGATTAATGCACTGATTAGGTTATAGCTCTCTCAGTCTAATTATTTTATCTCTGAACATTCCTGTATTATCACAGAAGCTTTTGAGGGATACCTTATATCCAAACCAAAATAATCTTTATTCTAGAAGGCAATGTGCTAGAGTAAAAGGGTTTTTTTGTTTGTTTGTTTGTTTGTTTGTTATTGTTTTTCTGACTAAGGAAGCAATGAAGAGCAAACAATGATAGGCCACTAGCAATACCTGCCACAGTAGCTTCTGCTCATTTTTAAGGTCTGTCTTCTGAGGACTTCATATGCACAAAGAATGACAGTGACTTCTATTACCAGTGATTGTGGAATAAAGAGAAATGGCATGCCCATGTGAAATCTGGTTTCTTGGTAAATTATACCTCACATAACAGAAATCTAAGTTTAAGTCTAAGCCACATTACAGGACTGATATTTTTAACTAACAAGTGGGGCAGGCTTGCCAGAATTCTACTTGTGAGAAGGACTAAGGAGATTTCTGGCAGAGAATTCATCTTAAGGAAATATTCATTTATTGTTCTCATTTTTTTCATTTTTTCAAGAAATATTTACTGAATTTTTGCTGACAGTCATTGAAAAAAACATATATTGGTGAACAATGGCAAAAACAAACATAGTTCCTGCATACAAACCAATCTAGAAAGGGAGGTGGACATTAAAAATGTAGTCATTTGGGCTGGGGATGTGGTTCAAGCTGTAGCAAGCTCACCTGGCATGCGCGAGGTGTTGGGTTCGATCCTCAGCTCCACATAGAAATAAAATAAAGATGTTGTGTCCACCGAAAACTAAAAAATAAATATTAAAAGTTCTTTTGCTCTCTCTTTTTTTAAAAAAGTGTAATCATTAAGTAAAATAAAAGTATATGTAGTTATGAATTGCATGAAATGCCCAAGGGGGAAAAACTGAAGTTTTCAAAATAGGAAAAAAAAAAAAAGGTGCTTTTCCAGAATACTGAAGACAAGGTGACAAGAAAACGTGTTTATTATAAGAATGTGGATTTTTAGGGGCTGGGGTTGTGGCTCAGCACTAAAAGCACTCACCTAGCAGGTGCAAGGCCCTGGGTTCAATCCTTAGCACCATATATAAATAAATAAAATAAAAGTATTGTGTCTAACTATAACTAAAAAATAAATATAAAAAAGAATGTGGATATTTTTAAAAAATTAGTTATAGGTGGATATCTTTATTTTATTATTTTATTTATTTATTAAACAACTTATGATGTTTAAGACATCTTCTGAGTTTAAAAACAGTGCCTACAGTGTATGAAAGTGCAGAACTGACCTTGAAGAAACACCAACCCTAGCATTTTCTTTTTCTTTGGTGATGCTGGGGATTGAACTCAGGGCCTCACACATACTAGGTAAGTCTCTAGCAACTGAGCTAAATACCAGCTGCCTAATATTTTCTTTTAATTTGGTGTTGTAAAGAGAATTTCATTATTGCAAAATTCTATATCACATTATGCTACTCGCCTAGATAATAGTTACTAGTGAACAATTTTTTCTCCCAATTTATACAGCATACAGCAATGTCCCCTAAGAAGTTCACTAGGTTATACACTTTTTATGCATTGAGTATATCAAATTACTACAGAATGCTTGAGGATGAAGTCAAAAGCTCCTATGATAACAATAGTTACAATTTATTGATAGCTTTCTCTTGGGGATTCGGGAATAACGGTGCTTGCTCCTTAAATTCACTATGATTTCACAAGTAATTAAGAAGTAAATGTAGTTATCAGAGATCAAAATATCAGGTTCAATACTTTTAACACTGAATTTGCTATTGGTTTGGTCTATGGTCATAATTGGACTTACCACTGAAGACTTCTGAATTGAATTTAGCAACCAAGTCTCAAGCAGTAATAGCCATACTCGGAGGGTGAATGGCCCTGAAAGAAAGAACACATAATGTACTGAGCTAAGCTTATTTATATTCTTCTCTCAACTCAAAAAGTTAACATCTCTGTTTGGGAGAAGAGGAAGGAAAATAGGAGGGGGGATTTGTTTGCTTTCTATATCTTCTAGAAGGATGGTATTCCTTACTCTATGGATCAAGCTAAAGACACTGGGAGAAGAATGTTTCTCTTTTCACCTACTAAATGTCAGGCACAGTATAAAATATTTTATATCTGTTTTCTGTATTTCTCATGATAATCCTCACTAGGTCATTATAAGTATTCATTCCTTATGAAGGAGGAAATCCAAACTCAGAGAATTTAAATAACTTGTCCATACGTGCACTCATATTCTTGATTAGATGGTTGAACTGGGATTCAATCCCAGGTGTGTGCTGACTCCAACGCCCATGCACTTTCTATTTTCTGTAGTGCACACCAATGAAATCACCTGAATCCCCTTGAAAATAATTATAGTAATGTAGATGGGGCATGAAAATGTCATTAATCCTTTCAACTATCTTGAATAATTGGTGCTTGTCAATCACATATCTTTGGTTCACTATTAAATTATGCCAAATGAAATGTCTTTCCACAAAAATATATTGTTTAATTTTAAGTTAATTCACCTTTGTAAGTCTGAGAGGTTAAGTCCTATTCTGCCTTGGGTGTGTACACACAGTACCTATTAGCAATTAAAATGAGTTACAAATGTGTCAAGAAGAGTTCCTGCTGCTGAAATTCAGGTCAGCTTACTTGAAATGGATATATATCTTCCTCTTCTAAATGTTAATTAGATGTTCTATTTTATCTTCAAAAGTTTCTAGCAGAAATTTTCTTGAAGTTGACACTTATAGGTCAAGAGAGTTTCATGATAGTGTCCTCAACCCCCATACATTTGAAGCCTATTCTGAAGGGTTTATATAGCTTTACTCAAAAAATTGAGATGAAGAAGAAAGGAAAATGAAATGGAAAAAAAAATATTTTGGACTTTAGTCTCCCTGCAATATCCTCAAAATTACTCAGTAGACCTTAAAGATGATAATATGAAAAATAAGTTACTTCAAATCCCATTAAATTTGACATTTTAGCATCTATACATCAATAATAAAGTAAATATTTTCAAACTCAATACTGAGATGTTTGCTCACATTTTAACTGAACAGTATTCATTAAGCATTTTATTCTACTTTATATAGTTTATGCCAAAGCACAGACAGAAATAAACTTTTAGTCAAAGGAATTTGAAAATAAAATGTTATCACTTTATGTGGCTGACCAACAAAGCACTCTTTACAAGTCTATATAATGTGGTTCATAAGCAGAGTGTATTGTGCTGTGTTAAATTTTAATGGTGTTCATCAATAAAAAATATAATTCTAAAACTAAAGTATCAAAACATCAAAAAATCAAGTAGGAGAATTTACATGAAAATTAGGAGACCTAAGTTTTGGCTCTGTCTCTGTGACTGAATAAGTCATTTACCTCTCTGACCCTCAGTTTTCCCATCTACATAATGAAGATGGACTAGATTGATCTTACAGTTTACATCAAATTCCTGTGAGAATCTTATAAAAATATCACACTTAGACTTCATCCCAGAAAATTCAATTCTGTGAGTCTGGAATGGGGCCCAGAAGTCTGCCCAGGGAATGTGGATGCTGGACATGCACACAGAGTAAGGCACACTAAATCTAGAGCCACTTGCAGATCCACCACTCTAATAGTCTAGAAAATTCAGCTATCATGATGGCAGACAAGGAAGAGAGGGAGGGAAGAAGGCATGGTTGACAGGGACATACAGAAAACACAAAGTTAAGTCTATCAAGTTCTTTTAGTGAATATCCATACCCAAAATAATCACTGACATTTCGCAAGTACAAAATTCTTAAAGGTGACTTTTTACTTCAGTATTTCAATGATAACAATTAAATATGTGTGAAAGTGGCTTTATAAATCTGCAGCTTAAATGCAGATAACCAGCCCTAGTCTCTCATACTTTGAGATCTTTCCACATAAAATATTAGTTATATCATGGTAGTTTATTTTAAAAATTTCTTAAGGTACTACTGCATACAAATATTGAAAAGGGATCAAAAAATTGAAAAATTTAACTCAACAGAGGTAAGTATGGTCCATTGCTCTTCTAGGGCCCTATTTTAGCCAAACCACCAACTTAAAAATCAGTAGAGAAGCACAATTTTATGAAGCCTGTGATCAGTATCACCCCTACAGCAACAGAATGAATTTCACTAATGGCCACAGAAGAGGTAAAAGACTACCAGTTTCACTGGTGTCTAGTACAAACCAATGCTGTCAACGTAAACATAGCAGATCTGTTCACTCTTGAGTAAATCATAAGTGAATTCCAAGCAACTTCACAGCAGTGACCAAGAGTTATCCAAAACTGTTATACATTGTCCAAGATATAGGCATTATCTTAGGTTGGGTGATTATATATTTTAAATTGTAAGTAGAATATCAATTTGTAAATATAACAACTGTCCTTCCTTGCTGCAAACAATAACAAGCATTCATCATTTAATAGTCAGGCACGTGTCTCCTTAAATTCTAGTATTGCTATTGAAAAACACATTAAAATAAAACAATTCAAAATATTTGAATTCTGGCAAATAAGTTGTCTGATTCAAATGGTGCCATTTCTTGACCTATGACAAGATGTATATATAACAAGCTAAAGGATCAGTGTACCAAATTCATTATTCTGAAGCAATGATGTGTAGCAAAAAATGAGTTTACTTCTGCCTACTTTCAAAACATTAATAAAGTGACACTGAGTCCACTACAGTAGTTGAGTTTCTGTATCAGTGCCCAGGATAGATGAAAAATCATTTTTTGAATATGCTCCAATATTTTCAGTTTCTTGGGGTTGCCCCAACATGATGCTTTTTAGATACTCCATAAGGTCCCTCCATTCTGGATACATTTCAGTCCATTTTTCTCAGAGAACTTCAGGGATATTTACATTATCAACAGTCAAGAAATGTAAAGCCTTTTTTTCTTTCCCTAGGAACTATAGTAATTCCATAGGCAAAGGCAAAAGTTATTTTACATATGTTCTGGGGTTATTACATTTGATGTAGCAGTGTTGTCATCTGCCACAGTCAGGTGAATAGTGTTGGGTGCCAGGTGTCATTGTAATGTCACTTATGAACTATCTGGGAGATAAAAAAATGGAAAAAAGAGAACTGATTTCAAGTCTGAATAACAAGTCATCAGGATTCAAGAGAAAAAAAATCCATTTATTAGTAGTGATGGTTGAATGCTACTTCTACCTCTTACTTGGGAATGATTTTATTTACATTCTAGATTTTATTTGTCTTGCTTATGAAGCCACAATTTCAAATCCCTGTTTCCCTTTTTGCAAATTACAACTTCAGGATGGATCTGGAGTGTGTCATCTTTGCCATTTTTAATATTAATAAATTAGCCCTCTTCATAAGTGATGACATTTTAAAAAATCAAAAATACTTAAAGAAAATCCTTAGTAGCTGCTTTTATGGTTGTAACTCTTTAGAACTGGGCAGCCTGCATGCAGACATTTTTACGTGTTCTGGCAGAGTCAGCATTAAATTCTCTACCACAGCACATAGTTTACCATATATTTGTACTAGCCTAACATAAATATATAAATAAAATCAACAGAACTCAGAACAGAGACTCAACTACTTTATACCATTCCAATAAAGTACAATGTCAAACCCAATAAATTTGGTTTCCTCCTGAAGATATTAGGTTGTAACTCCAGACCAAAATAAAACTTCCAGTTGCAGTGAGATTAATAGGATATAATATGTCAGAATAAATGAAATATCTACTAATACTCTCCTAAGCCTTATCTGTACAATCTGTGAATTTTGCCATGTATATTTACTCCCAAATCCAGTAAGATTAAATATGACTCTAACTGATGAATCACTGGACTTAGCCATCAAAGGGAGAGATCTAGAATCCTTAGGTAATAGGGGCCATTGCTTGTTGGGACCTGATATAATTGGTTGAGCACCATAAATTTTTCTGCAACTTTGTACCACATATACTTTTTTTTCTCTATTCCTATTGTTTTCCTTTCTATATATTGCCCCCTTTCTCTTTTCTGTCTCATTTTCCTTCATTTCCTGGTGAATCCAGTGTGTTAGTGTTTTCAAACTATGGGATAAAATCTATTAGTCACTTCTGAAATCAATTTAGTAGGCCACAGCCAGCAATTTTTTTAAATCAACTACAATAGAATATTTCCGGTTGCAAGGTTATGATGAGGGTAATATTGTTTCTGAAAACTCTTGTTTCAATCTATGACTGTGCCCAGAGTCATAATATGAAATATATTTCTTCCTGAGAAGCAACACCAATATGTATCATCTACTTCTACTAATGGCACTTGGGGCATAGAGGTGGCAGGCTTTATAGTATAGTAGGCAACAAAGCAGAGCATAAGGCAGCCTGGGATCTTCCATGGGCTATGTCAACTGTCATAATGTACATTATGTTCCTTCAAATTGTTCAAGTGTTAAAATACAAGTTATGTGTTTATATACAAACACAGATATGTATATACTGCAGAGCTGCAGCTAACTCTCCTCAGCACACAGGATAGCCACCCTCAACAAATAGTAATCATCTTGTCCAATAAGTCAATAATGCTGAGATGAAAACATTCTCATATATATTCAACTATTTGGAAAAATCTGTGGAAAATGATGAAATGTTTTAAAGTTTTCTTTTGAATGTTTGCTATTATATAGCCTCAACTGGATTGATATTATTTTTCTAACCCTGATCTTATCATTCAGCAATTTTAAAAATTAAAATATTGTGTTCTCACTACAATTATTACATTTTTGTATAAGTTATATATTCTAGGGAGTGTAGGAATACTTCAGTTCAAGAAACATGAGTTTCAAGAGTTTTATATACATCCTGTCCCTATTAACTCCATGTGGCAGCTGCAAGTATCCAATTTTACATATGGGGAAACTGAAAGTGGTGCAGGGATTACTCTGGACTCATGGTGAGAAAATAGCAGGGTGGGATCAGAACCCAGGTCATTGGGCTCCAAGTGCTCCAGATATGTTTGCTTAAAAGACAAACTGCTCTGGTTCCTGGCATACTATTTCAACCAAGTCACACTGCCTGCCAAAATAATCAATATAATTGCTCTGAATTTAAAAATATCTATGTTTCCAATAGCATCAGGAACCAAAGTCTACAATATCTTTTAAACTGTAATTACTAGTATTATGGGCATGTCCTCTTTGTGCTGAATTTCTTTATTTAGGAATTTGTCCTATGGAACTCTTCTTTGAAATGTTTGGTTCAAAAGGAACAGTATTCTCTGAAATGTCAGAACATCTGTCTTAAAATTACTGACTCCACATGAAGTTTCTCTCTTTTCTTTCTTTCTCTTCTTTATTTGAAGGTTTCTGGAAAGATGTGAATAGGTGGAGAAACAATATTCTCAGATAAACTATGTCCAATCAGTAATTGGACAGCATTTGCATCATCTTACAAGCATGTACATTTTTGATTATTCATCCTAGGTGAAATTTCTGCTTATCTTCTAATCTTAAAATAAAAATATAAAAATCCAGGCAAAATTTCATCTTATTTATCCATTCACTCACTGGCATTGCAATCAGGGATCTCTAAGTCCTTTAACAACATGAACCTTGCAATCGGAGAGATACATTTACAATGCTACCAAACCAAAGGATTAATAATCTGATTTTTATGAATTACCAGAATGCATTCAGATATGCATCTTTGGTATTCAATTATATTTGGACATTTCCCCCAACACAGAAACTTATAGAAAAGTCAGTATAAAGCAGCCTTCAAATAAATTGATACATTTACATTTTTCACACACTTTAAGCTCTCTTCTACTATAATTATCTATGCAACAACCCTCACAGAAAGTTCTGTATTGCTCATCATTTTTTTTGTGTGTATGCATTCAGGGCACCATTCGAAAAAGCTACCCACCTACTTGAAAATTTTATGCTGACAAAAAGAAAAGTCTGCTCTTTTTTAATTTTATCTTACTATCAGTGTGGTCCCATGTGGAAAGGCAGGTTGCTAATTTTTTTCTGAAGGCTGGTAAGCATGTGAAACTTGCTTACAAGGCTAATTAAAATTGATGTATGACATATATAGCATGGTTCCAGTGGAAAAAATAAAATATCAGTTTTTAGCATTGATATTATGCTCTTTATCTAATCTGCATACAAGTTATTGCTTTTTTTGTGTTCCCTTTGGCTAGAGAAACAACACTCTTCTCAGTAAACTGCCTCCTCTTTCCAGCATGACTATCTCATTATTTCTGCATTTGAATGGCCTCAAAGCTCTTAGTTTTGTAGTTGTTTTAGCACTCATTAAATAACTACATGAAAAGATGACATGGTCAGAAATGAGGTAAAGACAGAGAAGTACAGCATTAACTGCCCTCAGAGAGTAATAGCATCATGTGCCCAGACCACTGTATAGTTTGTACCAAACAGTGCATTGGATGTTTTACATAAATAGGGATATTTTTTAAAGAAGAGCAATGTTTCTAAATATGTAACTGGAAATAGTCTGCCCATGTGCATATGTGATAACTATGTTCTTCTGAAATTGCTTATCTGAGTGGCAGGGAAATTTCAAAAAGGCTTTCTCAAGAAGTAAAAAGAGCAGTAATGATCCTTAAAACCCAGAGATAAAATTATAAGATAATTCTTTGGACTATTACTAAAGTAAACTCCATATGTTCATAATATCAGATTATCAGCAATTTTCTCTTTAAAAGACCCAGCATAGCACAATCTTCTTAAAAAAACATTATGGAAATAAAGCCAAGAAGAGAAGGGAGGAAGAAAGATTCCCAAGGGAAAGGACAGAAAGGAGGTGGAAATCAGAGCTGTGAGAACCTGGTTCAAATATATGGGAAATAACCTTGAAAACAGATAAATGCTAATGCAGATTCATTAGCTACAGAGCTGGGGAGGTTTTTTACTTTTTTTCTTTTTTCTGATTTGCACTCCACCACCAAGCTTCTGGATATCCTGAATCATCTGAGATTTGCCAGACTCTCAAAGGGTATGAAAAGGGCAGGGTGCTGTGATTGTTTCCATTAAAGCCAGTCTCCTCCAAGAGTAAGGGGAAAATATTTTAGGGCCATCAAATAAAACTCCCTATTCTTAGCTGAAATTAATGAAACTACTTTATCCTGAATGCTCCAAGCGGGGAGGAGAGGCCCCAGGGAAAGCAGGTCTTGAGGGGAACCGCAATGCTCTTGACATAAACCTCACCACCTTCTTGAAATACTTTTTTCTCTTTAACCCAGTGCCTTCCTTTAATAGAATCACAACCTGGACTACTAATAAGAGGAAGAAGAAATGAGAACTAAAGGAAGCAAGGATGGCAAGACTTCCCTAGTAGATCCAGGCAACGTCGTGAAGAATAAAAACAGAGTTAAAATTGGGACTGGTACGCTGCTGATGGCTTGCTTTTGTTAAGGTATTTGCATAAATCTACCCCAGCTTTATATTATTTGGAAATTCCTTGTTTACCATCCCAGTAGGAGGTCCTTGTATATCTGCATGCGGACTCCAGTGATTGGGCGCTTACTAGTTACGAGAGGCAGCCGTCCGGAGGGTGTCCAGCTTGGACGGCTGGCTGTTCTTTCTGCTCTTTTACTTGTCCATAACTTCCACCCAGTGGTCTTAGTTTCCCCTTGGAAGTGGAACTGACTGAGTGCCATCCTTATTTCACTTGGCCGAGTCCAAGCTGCAGCCCATGGTAGAAGCTGCAAGAGCTGGGCAGAGTTCCAGGCGAGAGGGGCCGAGAGGCGTGAGCGGCGCTCCACAGCGCTTGTCAGAGAAATGGAGCAGCGGCTTCTTTGTGGGCTGGTACATCCCCCTCCTGGGTGCACAGCGGGGACATTTGATCTTCGGGGGTGATTGATAAGTGCGGGAGAGGGCCCTCCGTCCCGTCCCTCGCTCCCGCCTTCCACTCTCTTCCCTCCAGATCTTCTTTCCTCCTCCCTCTCGACTCCCTCCCTCTTTCCTTCCAGAAGCGCTGCCCTGGCGAGCAGCTCCAGTGGGGATCTGCCTGCCTTGGGGACACCGCCCGCACACCCGCCTATGCCCTGGCTCCCTGGCCACACTGGTCCTAGGCAGTGCCGGCTCCTGCGCCTCCCTGAATCGCAGATGCTGCGGGTGCCTCCAGGGGAAGATCCTGGCGGCAGGATCGCTCGGTAAGTTCTGAACACTCGGGGATACCCTGGTGACTGAACCATGAGCTGGCTTCACTTAGCCTCTCAGGATGAACCGGAGTGGGGAGGCTGGGCTCAATCCACTGAGGGCACCTTATAGGCTACTGCTCTCTACCCTCAGTCCCTGCTCAGGCTTCCTCTACCCTGGACCGCTGCGCGGGTGTGGTCGGGACCCGCGTGTGTCGTGCAGCCCCATGGTCACCGCTGCCAGGGGTGGCCCACGGACCCGGTGGGAGCTGGGGCTCCCGAGAAGGCTCCAACCATCCACGGTTCCCAAACCCCATGGCTAGGGCAACGCGAGTGGCCGCCGTCGCGGCTGCCGGGCCCCTGGTTGGGCATCTTGCGTCTGCCGGCTACAGCATGGGAAGGTAGGGTGGCGCTAGTGGCCGGTGCCCCATTCCAGGCACTGAGACCCCTGCTTCCTGGAAAAGTCCTTCAGCAATGGGATTCGCTTGGAGGTGCTAGGAGGATGGGAGGGCGATGAAAGGGTCTGCAGGCATGCGATCCCCCTCTCAGGTACCCCAGCCCCCAACCCCGTCTTGGCCTGATAGGTGGTTGTTCGCCTGCTGGCAGGCTACCTCTGAATCCCAGGGAAGCTTGGGCGATCAGAGCCAAGCTCTCTCCTCGGATAGAGGCAAGCGAGGTTGAGGCGGAGGAGTTCGTGTCTAATCCTCCCTTGCCTTTGCTTGGAGGAGAAGAAGCGTTTTCTTTATTTTTGCGTTCGTCCTTGCCTCTCTTGGGCTCCCAGTTCACCTTGAGCACTTCCATTTCCTTTCAAAGCCTGCTTTTCTTAGCAGAGTGCTGTGGCGCTTCTATCTGAGCAGCAGAGCCCAATGAAACTTACTTAAAAGTGTTAATCGGGTTTGAGGCTTTTTTTTTGTTGTTGTTGTTGTTGTTGTTCCCAGTAACTATGTTTCAGAAAGTGGCTGTGGACGCTCATACACAGGCTAGAGACGAAATAGTGGTGGAAGGGTCCACCGACCCGTGTAGGAAGCTGCCCACATAATGAAGACCTGTCACAACACCGCAGGATACCGGTGTCACTCCCCCAGTTAGCTTACCACCACATTTCCTTTATTCTCTAAGTGTCAAAGATTTCAGAAGCGCCAACCCCCGTCTCTTTCCCTATTTCCTTCCTTCCCTCCCTCCCACTGAGATTTCTAGCAAAATAGTCTCTCTTTTCAAGGAGTACTGACAGCAGCATCAATGTCCTGAAGAGAATTACTATATTTAATAACTAAAACTAATATTTGATATTTAATTTAAATATAAAAATTTGAAGACCTCATCTATGTAAAATATAAAACACCACCACCAAAGCCTAGGTAGATAGTTCTCTAATTCATATTAAGCAGTGATAGACTGTTTGGAATGCTGCTGGACTGGGACTCAGAACCCATGTTCTCTTTCTAATTTTAGTTTCTTGACCTTAACCAAGTCAGCACTTTCCCTGGTTGAGGAATGTCCTCATCTATGAAAATAAATCTGACTTCTAAGGTATCATTGAGCTGTAATGTTGGCTTCTGTCTCAATGAGATATTAACCTAATTAGTGTTTGTTGAATGAATGAATGAATAAATAAACCATCTCTCTCTAGGAATAATGTACTTTTAATATTTGGAAGTATGTAGAAAAGAATGTCCTTTACTATGAAAGGAAGCTTAATTGTGCTCACAATGCATCACTGTGTTTGCATCTTAGGATACAACTGCCTTAGAGATTAGGAGGCCATCCACAGCTGCCTGTGTCCCTTGGGACTGCTCATCTCAATGTTGCCCAGTGGCACAGAGGAGAATTTGGGGCTCACGGGGGAAAGCATCCTTCTAAAAGGTCACAAAATAATTACTGGGGTTAAGGGGGCTCCTGATGCCTGTTCCAAGCCTTTTCTTGGAAGGAGGAGAAGAAGGAATGGGAAATGTCAGAGAAAAATGCACAGGAGATTGCTAGAGCCACAGGTTTCCTTGATGCCTAAGTTTATAAATAACCCTAGCTTTTCTTGGGGCAGGGGAAGATCTAGTAAAACTGCACAATCCTATGACCTGGTCTCAACAGGAAAGAATAAAAGAAAAACAGGAGGCTTTCCATTCTCAAAGGCTCATTTTGCCTACATGAGGTTCTCTCCTGTGTTTGCCCAGGAAATAAGAACTTGTATCCACTCTATCTGCAGCAGGTTGGGGGCCGAAGAGGAAGGGAATCTAGCTGAAGTGTTCTACAGGATGGGGAAAGCATTTGATCAATTCCTTTCCTCATTCTCTTTCATTCTCTCTTTTTCCTGATATGTATACCCCTTCCCACCAGAGGCAGCCCACAGTTCTTCCAGGCAACAGCAGCTATTATTTACACCTTGCAAATAGACTACACTAGGAGACTCCTGGATCCTTAGGGTTGTAAGATAATCAAGGAAAAATGAGATAATGAAGGCAAACATCCAACATTTTCTCAGCCATTAGCAATGCACTGGAAAGGTTATTTGAACCCGAATTGGTGTCAAAGCTAGGAAGGAATAGGGTCTATTGTCTTTACCAAATGCACACAAGAAGGTCCAAAAGAAGCTTGTGGGATACCTAGCAACAGAACTAGATCAGAATTCAGGTGCACCAGGTCTTAGACCATGACTCTTTTTTTACCTCTCCTTTCTTTCTCAGGAGCCAGGCTTACTGTACTGCCTTCCTCTGTTCTCCTTGTTCCCCTGGCCCTGCAGTCTGGGGGACTTAACAGGCCTTCCGTGGGCTCCCACTTACAGCTGAGGTTCATCCTGGCAGTGCCTCTCTGACACCCACTCCTCTTCTCCTAACTCCAGGCAAAAAGCACACGTTTAAATCTTATTATCTAAATATTAACCTGGGGGTTATGTTTGTTTATCTCAGTTTTCAAGCTTATAGTTGCTGGGTTTCAGAGTCCAAGCAAATATGTGCATGGCCAGTCATCACCAAGAAATTAATTCTCTCACACTGAAACAAAGCTCTGTATGTAAATAAAGCATAATCCCCTAGGGGGACTCCTGGCCCTCCTACACAGTCACCCCACTCTCTGCACTGAGGTCATCTAAGCCAGAAGGCTGGCTGGTGGACATCAGTACTATAGCAAACAGGCAAAAATCACACACCCTTCCTAAGAGGCTTTGGACCCTTGCTTGGGTCTGGGATGAGACCTGGAATGTACAGGTCACTGCCCTTATTATGCATGTGAGGAAGAGGGTGTGGAAAAGACCACTCAGAGGTCTGAGAAGTTTTGGTGATGCCAGTGCCTTAGCCAGGCAGGTTCTTGAGAAACCCCTCTGCAGAAGCTTCTCTGGCTGCCAGCAGGGTTGGAGGTGGAGTAGTTCAGAATCAACTGACGCAGCCGGGAATAGAGCTTTGCAAAGCCACTTGCAGAGAAGGGAAGCATCTGCCCCACCCTCCCCCACCGTGCGCCCTCGATCCTCTTCCTACACCCTCCCCCCGTGACGTCATCCTAGCCCTGTCCCGGGGAGCTTGCTAAGCCTCTCAAATTCAAACTGCTAGACGCACTGCTGCCGCCAACATCGGATTGGAAGCGCGCGCCCAGGCTCTGCTGTGGTCGCCGCCTGCCACCCCAGCCGGCAGCTCCCGGACCTCCCTACGCAATTGCACCCAGGGCACTGGCAGCGCAGCTTCTCTGGGGCTCAAACCTTCGTCTTCCTCTTCTGCCGCCCGCAGGATTTTTAATTTATGCACACCCTTCCCCCAACAAAATTAAAGCAGCCAACAAAAAGCTGGGCATCCCCTCTGGAAGTGGCGTCTTCTTTTACCTTGCTCTCCCTCTCTTCCTGAAGATGCTAAACTCCTGGTGGACTGCAGAGGAGGGGGGTCCCGTCTTCTCCTGATGTGTGAGTACCCCTCTCCATGAGCTGTCTCTGCTCTCCCATCTCCACCCCCGCCGCCATCCCCGATTCCTGATTTTCCCACCCCCCTTTTTGCGCAGTTTTAAAAAAAAAAGAAGTAAAGCAATTTCTCCAGCCCCAAACGCGGGAGCCGCCCGAAATGTCTTAGAGATACCCTAGGGGAGGAGGAGGTGGGCTAGATTTAGTAGGACAAGTCATTACTAATGACTCCGCGGCTGGCTGCGACCCGCCGGGAAATCAGGTGCAAGCATGTGTGTTCGGGAACAAGTGTGTGGGTGGGCTGGGGGAGTGGGCAGGGAAAGGAGAGAAGAAACCGCTTTGAGAAAGCAGTGATTTCATTCTGCTGTGTTGCCCACCCCCTCATTCACCCTCCCTCCCACTCCGCCCTCTCGCTTTGCCATTTTAATCTTCCTTCCTTGTTTCTTTCTTCTCTGCATCCCGCTTCCTCCCCCTGCCCCCCACTTAAGGTTTGCCTGTAGGTACCTGAGCTGACACTGAAGGTGCCTAAAGATGCTGAGCGGCGTTTGGTTCCTCAGTGTGTTAACAGTGGCTGGGATCTTACAGACGGAGAGTCGCAAAACTGCCAAAGACATTTGCAAGATCCGCTGCCTGTGCGAAGAGAAGGAAAATGTACTGAATATTAACTGTGAAAACAAAGGATTTACAACTGTCAGCCTGCTCCAGCCCCCCCAGTATCGAATCTATCAGCTTTTTCTCAATGGAAACCTCCTGACGAGATTGTATCCCAACGAATTTGTCAATTACTCCAACGCGGTGACTCTTCACCTAGGTAACAACGGACTGCAGGAGATCCGAACCGGGGCATTCAGCGGCCTGAAAACCCTCAAGAGACTGCACCTCAATAACAACAAGCTGGAGGTATTGCGGGAGGACACATTCCTGGGCCTGGAGAGCCTGGAGTACCTCCAGGCCGACTACAATTACATCAGTGCCATTGAGGCTGGGGCATTCAGCAAACTTAATAAACTCAAAGTGCTCATCCTGAATGACAACCTTCTGCTGTCGCTGCCCAGCAATGTGTTTCGCTTTGTCCTGCTGACCCACTTAGACTTGAGGGGAAACAGGCTGAAAGTAATGCCTTTTGCTGGTGTCCTTGAACATATCGGAGGGATCATGGAGATTCAGCTGGAGGAAAACCCATGGAATTGCACTTGTGATTTACTTCCTCTCAAGGCTTGGCTGGACACCATAACTGTTTTTGTGGGGGAAATTGTCTGTGAAACTCCTTTCAGGTTGCATGGGAAAGATGTGACCCAACTGACCAGGCAAGACCTCTGTCCCAGAAAAAGCATTGGTGACTCTAGTCAGAGAGGCAGCCACCCTGATACACATGTGCAAAGGCTGTCTCCTACAATGAATCCTGCTCTCAACCCAACCAGGGCTCCTAAAGCCAGCCGGCCACCCAAAATGAGAAATCGTCCTACTCCCAGAGTAACTGTGTCAAAGGACAGGCAGAGTTTTGGGCCAATCATGGTATACCAAACCAAGTCCCCTGTGCCCCTCACTTGCCCCAGTAGCTGTGTCTGCACCTCTCAGAGCTCAGACAATGGTCTAAATGTTAACTGCCAAGAAAGGAAGTTCACTAATATCTCTGACCTACAGCCCAAACCTACCAGTCCAAAGAAACTCTACCTAACAGGAAACTATCTTCAAACTGTCTATAAGAATGACCTCTTAGAATACAGTTCTTTGGATTTGTTGCACTTAGGAAACAACAGAATTGCAGTCATTCAGGAAGGTGCCTTCACAAACCTGACCAGTTTACGCAGACTTTATCTGAATGGTAATTACCTTGAAGTGCTATATCCTTCTATGTTTGATGGACTGCACAGCTTGCAATATCTCTATTTAGAGTACAATGTCATTAAAGAAATTAAGCCACTGACCTTTGATGCTTTGATTAACTTACAGCTCCTGTTCCTGAATAATAATCTGCTCCGGTCCTTACCAGATAACATATTTGGGGGCACAGCCCTTACCAGGCTGAATCTGAGAAACAACCATTTTTCACATCTGCCTGTGAAAGGGGTTCTGGATCAGCTTCCAGCTTTTATACAAATAGATCTGCAAGAGAACCCATGGGACTGCACCTGTGACATCATGGGGCTGAAGGACTGGACAGAACATGCCAATTCCCCAGTCATCATCAATGAGGTGACTTGTGAGTCTCCTGCCCAGCATGCAGGGGAGATACTGAAATTTCTGGGAAGGGAGGCCATTTGTCCAGATAGCCCAAACTTGTCAGATGGGACCATTTTGTCAATGAATCACAACACAGACACTCCTCGGTCACTTAGTGTGTCTCCTAGTTCCTATCCTGAACTACACACAGAAGTACCACTGTCTGTCTTAATTTTAGGATTGCTTGTTGTTTTCATCCTATCTGTCTGTTTTGGGGCTGGTTTGTTTGTCTTTGTCCTGAAACGCAGAAAGGGAGTGCCAAGTGTTCCCAGGAGTGCCAACAACTTAGATGTAAGTTCCTTCCAATTACAGTATGGGTCATACAACACTGAGACTCATGATAAAACAGATGGCCATGTCTACAACTATATTCCCCCACCTGTGGGGCAGATGTGCCAAAACCCCATTTACATGCAGAAAGAGGGAGACCCAGTAGCCTATTACCGAAATCTGCAAGAGTTCAACTATGGCAACCTGGAGGAGAAAAAAGAAGAGCCAGCCACACTTGCTTACACAATAAGTGCCACCGAATTGCTGGAAAAGCAGGCCACACCAAGAGAGCCTGAGATGCTCTATCAAAATATTGCTGAGCGAGTCAAGGAACTCCCCAGCGCAGGCCTAGTCCATTATAACTTTTGTACCTTACCTAAAAGGCAGTTTGCCCCTTCATATGAATCTCGACGCCAAAACCAAGACAGAATCAATAAAACCGTTTTATATGGAACTCCCAGAAAATGCTTTGTGGGGCAGTCAAAGCCCGACCACCCTTTACTGCAAGCTAAGCCGCAATCAGAACCAGACTACCTCGAAGTTCTGGAAAAACAAACTGCAATCAGTCAGCTGTGAAGGGAAATCATTGACAACCCTATGGCATCAAAGGATGCTGCTCCAAACTGTCGGAAGCACTGCATTTGCTTTTGTGTTTGTTTGTGTTCTCCCTTTCCCAGTGTTAATGGGGGACTTTGATAATGTTTAGGAGATGGGGTGAAGCAATGGTATTGCTTTTGCAAGTTTTCCTTTAAATTATTTCTTTCTCACTCTTCCCCCACTTTCCCCCCCTTTTCTTCTTAGGAACCATCAGTGGACATGAATGTTTCTACAATGCATTTTTCATATATGTTGTTTATGATTTTGTTTCTATTTTCTTCTTTTTTCCAGTGTGGGAATGGAAAGAGGAGATTATAGTTAATAACGAAGAATAGGCAGACTTTTCAAATGAAAATGGATAATTAGTGTATTTTTAGAAGATCTCCAAAGATCTTTTGGAACTATAACTTCTTTTGTAAATAATGATATTTGGCGTTTCCATCTTCAGTTACCAAGTATAGCCACTGGGCATCACTTCTTTGTGTTAAAGTGCCTTCGCACTTTAAGTACATTACTTAAATGTTGCTTTTAGCTTTGATAAATTGAACATATTTTAATGTGTTGTATTTTTAAAATGAAAACACTGTAAAATAGATCTATATGTCAGCTATATTAAGTCAACGTACAGTTTGCTTGAGTTATAGAAACCAGCCTGTCATGAAATGATTCTAGTTTAGAACTTTAAAGAATTAACTGTAAAATATTTGCTTTCCTCTGGGTTTGTTTTAAGTGATTTTATTTAAGTCAACTAAGGGGATTTAACAGTGGACTAGAGGTAATAAGCCACCTCAGTTGGGATTAGTGATTCATTAATAAAATATATTTAACCCAATATCAGAGTGAATTGAACAATTAATGCCCTTCCATAAGTCATTATTTTACACTAACATGGTCAGTGTTTTAGATTATTTTCCTAATTAAGAATACATTACACAACTTGTAATATATTTTTTCTGCATTAAATTAGATATTTTTATATATTTAAATGAAAGAGTCTGTATTTCTAACTTTTTAATTGAAATTAATATTTTTTCTGCCTACTGAAACATTTTCTATAAACACACACCAGTAGAGGCCGCCACACACCTCATTTAACAAAGACATATGAGCCATTAAATACCTTGAAGGAAGACTTCAAAGGTGAGATTAAAACTTCCCAAATAAGTTCTCTGCAAATTCAAGGCAGAAGATAAAAATGTACACATTACTTTCTATTTCTTTTAGGATTAAAGCTAGACTCAGAATTCTCAATTTTCACATTTTATGACAAAGCAGCGTTTTCCTCCTGAGTTTAATTGAAGCATTAATGGGGTGCTACCAAATCATGTACTATTTGCATCTCCAAATCAATTAGTAGTTTACCTAAACCATGATAATAAACTTCTTTTTCTCTTTTTGCCTTCTTTAGGCATATTTTACTTGAAAATTTCCTTGTCAGCTTGAGCAAGCCTTTCATTTTGTTCTTAGCATTAAAATGATTTTAACTAATCAAGTCTATATAACATTTATGAAGCCTTATTAGCCTGTAAATAATTTGAGATGCAAACATTATTGTGTGATTTAAACAAACAGCCCTTCTTTACAACAAAAAATAGTTTTGTTTTGTCTATTGTAAATCCTTATGCAACTGGGATGGTGATCTGCATATAAAGTAGTCCAGCTTTTCAATTCCTTATTAAAGCAAGTGATGGCATCTGAAAGAAGCACACTGTTTCCTTTTCATAAATAGGTTACTGCACATAATAATCCTTTATTATCATGTGAAGATTGAAGTGGATCCTGATAACTTACTTTTAAAGCTTTAAAATGACTAATAGTATATTGTTGGTCACTATTAACAATTCCTGCACTAGGCTTTCAATTAGAAGGTACGTTAATCCAAATTGTTTGGATTAATAACCACTGGTGCAAAATGCTTTTTTAAACAATAGAAGATAATTGTATACATACATAGATGTAAAGGGAATTCAGGAAAAAAATGTCCTTAACAATTTGAAATCTCTGAATATGAATATCTAGAGTGAGAAGCTAACATGTTCATTCTTTGATTAGAGATCAAAATTCCTGTTTAAATCCACTAGCTCAAAGTTGAAAATGGTGGGCTGAAATGGTCTACAAGAAAGTTTAATGTACAGAAATTTTACATTTCTCACAAGAAGAACTAGAGTATTACAACAGTTGAAGTCAGAGAAAGCTCTTGGATATCACATTGTCATTGAATTGCTTACATATAAATTTGAAAAATTTTTCTTGTGGTATAATTATAAATACAGAATACAGAAGTAGGTATATTGGAAAGTTATTATGAAGACAAATTAACAGATATTCTCTTTAAATTAGTTTTTAGGCTTAACCATATGACTAGAGCTATTGTCATAGTAATTTCACTTGTGTGTTTGTTATTATTCTCCTTAAAGTAAAGCCACTCCTATAAAATGCTAGTGTCCTTAGAAAAATTCACTCATTAATCTTAAAGAAAGCTACTTTAACATTCATTTAGTTCCATAATAAGGCCTCCTGGAAGAACTCAAATTCTTAAAATATTTTCCTTAAAAATTGTGATTTAATTCTTTATTCTTATGTTTCTTAGATTCATTCTTTATTTACTTTAGGTTTTACGACCAAATCATCTGAATGTCAAGACTATTTCATCTAAAAACATAATTCACCATATACTTTGAAGCTTTATTTCCTACTGTAATCATAAAAAGTTTGAGTTTTATTAATGTATTTTCATCTCCACTGACCATATTGTTTTGCTTTATCCATTCAAATGCTTTCAAACATATTTTATTTTAAGATTTTCATTTTTATCTCCTTCAGCTGGATTTTACTATTTCCCTTTCACGTCACATTCAGCTTCTAAAGGGTGTGAGCTACAGCACAAACGGTTCCAGCCAACAGAATGCAGTTCCCAGGGCCCTGCCTGTAACAGATCTAGATGTCTGAACCTACAATGGCAAATGGTAATTCCCTTTGATTCTAGCTCTTAATTAGTTGCTTTTACTGTTTCCAAGTATACCTCTGGCTAAATTTGTATTGAAATATTCAAAAGTTCCACTTCTTAGAATGGACACCATTGCCAATAGTCTAATTTGGTGTGGATGGCCAACCTGTGTGCCTTGTTAGTTCCCTCCAGCATTTGGTGAATAAGGAAATGACCCTTGAATTTCCTCTTCTTTGTCATCTCACCTCTAAGGTGACTTAATTTTTCTAAATGATTCCATGTTTCCAAGGGCTCTGTATTTTATGGATTTTACATTTTTTTTTACAACCAATGAGAGGTTCTATAATTTGGGGGATCCTAAAATTTCATTTTCATTGTACACATACCAGAAACCTACTGGATTGTATTGCTAGAGTAAAGAAAGTCTTCCAGACAATTCAAAACCATTTGTTTCTTCATCCACTCATTCATTCAATAAATGTTTCTTGAATGCTTGCTTCCTAGGTGCCAGGCTCTATGCTGTGTGTTGAGGGTACACAGAGATACAGCAGGCAGGAATTCTGCTGCCCCCTCTCCACCCTCCTCATCCCCCACTCCCACTGCTACCAATCCCCCTCACCCTCACAGGATCTTTCTCCCACCTGGCAAGGAGCTTAGTTCAAATAAAGGAGAACTTTACCCGAATGACAATCACTCGGAGTAAACAGTGGAAACAATAATGCAATGCAGATGAATGAGCTTTTAAAGATGCATCTGTGCAGTACAATATAAAATCGATATATCATAAATAGGCTGGCTATAATGTAGCCACTATTAACATCTCTTTGGAGTTATACAGCTAAAAAGGGGAAAAAAAAGAAACCACCAAAATAAAACAAATTACTGCAAAATTGGGCCCAATACTATGGCCTGGTGATAGCTATACACTTGTGCTATCTAAGATCTAAATTGTAAAGTTGACTACCAAGACTGTAAATACAAAACCACAAACCTACTTAAATTTTTTGGAATATTCATGTTTTAGAAGCAATATTTAGTTTATATTTCTGTGGCTTAAAAGGAAATATTTTGATTTAAGTGTCTTTTACCAATACAATATTAAGACACTTAATTGTGAGAGAGAAAATTAAGTACTGTATATAGGTGTACTTTGCTTCTCAAAATGGTTGTGCAAAAAGTCATGTGTAAATTGAAGTTTTGTAAATCCTTGTATTTTAATGCATTAAGGGAGCTGTAATTTAGAGGAAACTCGTGAACCCTTTTATAAAGAAGAAAAACATTTTATAATACAAATAACCACAGTCTGAATTATCTGTTTTGTATGTTTGGATTTTCAAAATCAACTTTGCTTAAAACAGAGCTCATGTGCATAATAAGAGTGTGTCTTGCCAGTGCTGCTTGTGCTACCAGTTTCTTGGTTGCTAAGGGCTTATACTTGAAAGTCTGCTGCAGTTTCGTGTGAACTGAGCTATCGAGTGATTCTCTGATGGCAAAGTAGCCTTCCTGAACAGTCCAAGTAGCCTACCCATCTCAATTCAATTGAACACAGGACTCTTCTGCTCAGCAGCATCTCCTCTCCCAGATATGACAATATCTCATTAGAGGGTAGAATGACTCCTGTATTCACATTCTACAAAGTGCTTAGAGTCACAGGTTTTATAATAAATATGTTATTATGTAAACATATTGAATTGCATGTGTGTTGGAATTTTTTTAGCAGTATTTTAGCTTGAAAGTACTTGTACAAATACTGTTAGATTTAGTTGCAAATGATTGTTCTCAAGTTATTGGAATAAATGGCAAATGAAACAAGCTCTGGTGTATATAGACTTCTGTGCCAAATAGAAACATTGTTTAAGAAAATAAATGTCATATTTTGGGCTGTTAATAGGCAAAATGAAATATTGGAAATGTGATCAAATGATATTGTATTTTATTGGATAAACTGTTTACACAGTTATTTCATGCTGTAGTTAGATTCAGTTAATAAATAAATATTCACTAAAGATGAACATTTGAATTAGTTAGAAAAATTCTTTAGGAATTTAAGAAAAAATATTGCGCCAACCATCCCATTTGCCTTGATGTATACTGTTCAAATGCTTACCTATTAGGGTTTTATTCTTTATATTAGGATAAAAATGAGCTGTTAAAAATATATATTAATATTTCTCCATGAATATCTGGTAGAATCATATTTTTTTAATTGGAGGTAAACAATAACAATGAAAGCAGTTCAGATAAAGATGTCTCCAAAATTGAAGCAAAGTCCACTGAATAACCAGTCATCCCTCCACACTCACACATCTAAACTGAAGCCAGTTGTTTTTTAATTATAAAATTTGGTGTAATACAAGAAGTGATCCGATAATTTCATATTTTTTAGAGGCTGAAATAAAAATCCAAGAAATAGAAATGGTGAATTCATTAACAGAAATGCTATTACTATATTCAGAAAGGCTAGAGTTAAGACCAATAATGATACAGAATGAAAGAGAGAAAGAGAGAGAAATGTATTCTTTTGTTCTTGTGATTATGGTGGTATCATGGCAAATTGAATTCTCCGGCTATTTGCACTCAGAACATCAGAACATATCTGCCAGCTATACTCTATTTACATATGTATAATGTAACAAAAGATTTGAGATACCTGTGGTGGGCATGAGGTCTTAAAATAGATTAACCTGTGTTGAAATTGTTGATAATATGCACGATATATTCTGTTTATTCATGTAGCATTCACAGGATAGCCAAAACAATTGGAATAGCCACATTGGTAAGTATTTTGTTAAAGGATGAGAATCAGTGCTAGTATACCCAATTACTCTATCCTTTGCAAAGATTAGTTGGAACAAAAGGGAATAAAATTAATTCAGCTCTTAATTATGAACACATGTGATATACAAGTCTTCATCAGCAATTCCACAATGCCACTGCTGATACTGAAGAAAAGACTGGTAAAATACATTTTGTTATTCCTGGATGGGGCTGCAAATGCACCTGATTTGCATTTCCATAGTCACTTGCTTTGTAAATACTTACACATTATTTTTTTTATTCTTTAAAAATATTGCTTTATATTTGCTATCAATATTTCCATAAAAAGAAATATCTGACATAGGTATCTGTCAGATTATTATCTGGCATTTGTGGGCATTTTGATCTTGACAGAATGTTGGCTACAACATGAAATCCAAGGTACCTTTCAGGTCACAAAGTCACTGCTTGGCAGCTGGAATTAGTGAATGGATTCTTATGTGGGTGATCCTTGGCTAAATCCCTCCCTTGTCAAGTCACTTTCACTTTCAGATTGTTTAAACCTGATGGTGTTATGGAGTGTGATAACTCTCTAATAAATAGCTCTTTAATGAATGAATGGATAGATGGATGGATAGATGCATGGATGAATGAGACTTGCCTCTCATATGAACACTAAAGTAAAAGGGTGAAAATTAGAGGATCTATGTTCATGGCATAATTACAATGGATCACCAGCTGTTTCAGGAAATTTTAAAAAATGTTTACTCTTAATGTTTTTAGAGCTTATAAGAAACACATACATGCAAAGATATACCACATGAAAATGGCATAATAGTTAATGCTAACACAAAGTTAAGATCCAACTTTTGTTACATGCAGATAGGCCCGATTTTCAGGGATACTTTAGTGTGTCCAGTGAACCCAATGATCTTATTCTAGAGTTAAATGTAGCTTTACTAGCTGGACGGTGGTGGTACATGCCTATAATCCCGGCTGCATGGGAGGCTGAGGCAGGAGGATCATGAGTTCAAAGCCAGCCTCAGGAATTTAGTGAGGCACTAAATAAAAGACAAAATAGAGCTGGAGATGTGGGTCACTGGCCAAGTGCCTCTGAGTTCAATCCTTGGTTACCCTTGAACCACCACCACCAAATGTAGCATTACTGCTGAGCTGTGAGATTGTCTTTTGGAACTGGGAGATTCTGAGTGGAGAGAAAATGTACTCCCTGACAAGCCTGAAGGCTTATCTAAATTCAGTTCTTCCAATGGCTCTGTGTAGTTGACTTTTTTTTTTTTTAGTCTTCCAGGTAGCAGAGAATGTTTTTGGACTCAATACCATCTTACATCATATTTCTGAACAGGATTGTTTCTAAAGGGCGTATTTATACAATATTAGAACCTACAGGTTCCCCATCTGGGAACAGCATTGAATTGGTTGAACTCAATTGATACATCCCATTTTGGTAGTCTATGATTCCAGGCTACTTTAGGAATGGCTGCTACACACAAAAAAGTAGGATCTTGAGAAAACTAGTATTGGAACCTTATACTTCTTCTTTTTTCAGTTGTCAAGACTGGACATAGCACTAAACTGACTTTATCTCTACTGGATTCAAATGTACCAGTCATCTTCAGTTAATCTATCTTTCTAAATTTGACTATAAAAAGTTTAAATGAGTTTCTTACTTGTTTATAAATCACAATAATCTGCTTATTTGGGGGAAAGATTATGATGAGTTTTCCATTTATCTGTTTTTCAAAGGAGTTGTCTTTTCTGTTGATGAATGAGTTTACTAATTCTGTTTGCTGATTAGGCAAATTAAATTATGAATCTATCTAGAAAGACCATATTGTCACATTTCAGGGAAATTCATATTTTTCCCATTTTATTGTTCATCATCCCACCCTTTTAGTCTATACTGCCAAGTTTTCTATCATCAGGGAAACTGATGTACACTTAGACAAATCAGCCAAGCTTCAGAAATTCAATGATTCATTTCAGTGAGCAAAGCTCTTAGCTGACAAGTGGTATTTGGCCTCTTCCTGATCATAAATTTCAGCCATAATTTTATGGCTAGGCCAATGTGTCTCTATCTGGTCAAATAGATTTTAACTGGAAACAAAAAAATAAAGCCCTCAGTCTTGACATGATCTTTTGCAAGAGTCAAAAGAGGAAAAAAGTGAGCATCCAAAGTTTCTCTGCTTTCCAGAGGTTTCTGAGGAGCATATTAACAGTACCAGTGAATGAAAGAAAAATCCAGCAACACTTTGCTGTGTGTTTTCTTTTGTCATGTTACAGCAAGTTATGAAAAAAGAAATTAAGGATATCCTTGTCCAAACCAATATACTAAGGACTTAGAGTATGATTACATTTCAAATGTTGTACTTGAAATTTGGAACCAAATACGTTTTATTGATTAAGTTGATCTCCGAAAAGCAAGAATGTTTTAAGTAGTAATCTGGGTAATTTGGAGGACAGAACTACTGGATTAATTTCATTAATTTTATGCTGCATTTATTCAAATTTTATTCTGTGTAAGCTCATTAGGAAGTTGTTGGGTTGTACTATGCAAAGAGCTCAAATGTGAATTTTAAGAATAAGCTAATTATTTAGTTCTTATAGAATAATCCAGAGAGTGCTCTGCCTGTGTTGATGTTTTTCAATTAGATTTTCTTAGTTCCTTTCTAGAACAAAATCAACAGTCCAAGGATGGATATTTATACAAGGGCATGATAAAGTTCTAGGAAGAATGGAGCAAATATATGCTTTCTAAAATATTTTTCAGATAAATGGAAAGATGGCCAGGAAAGAGGAAGTTTCACAAACTCTTCTTGCCCTGCCTCTCCAAAAAAATCTTTCCCAAATCTTATCCCCGACTAGGAGACAAGTATTTCTACTATGTAGGACTTTGAATTTTACCAGATGCTGCCTTAGTTTATTCTTAAATCATATAGATTTCTTCTTATTTGTTGAGTGAGGAGGATCTGAGTTCAGTGGGAGTGAGGCTCATTGGACAAAGGACCAGAAGTTCTAGGACTTAGCCTCCCTGCTGCTTCTAACTCTTTGGGTGGAATTGAGCCATGTCTTTTCCTTCTCTAAGAGTCACTTGCCTCATCTTAAGTTGGATTTAGCCTTCATGCACAAGAAGTCAATTGAATAAAAATAAGCCCATTGCTAAGGAACACTGGGATCCACATTAACTCATTAAAAATTAGTAAATCCTTTTCAAACTTGAAACATTATCTTTAATAACAAATTATTTTTGACAAACCTCACACCCATTCTGTGACACACTACTGAAAACATTTGAGCTAGAAGTTCTAATGCTCCTTTGAGCTTAAAAAAGCCTCATGATTTTCTTTCTGTCATCCTTATTTCAGGTCTTAAACATTATAATTGTATAAATCCATTTACACAAAGAGGATGAGTAATTTCTGGTAGTCCTTATGCGGTAACAGATTGTCTCTAAAAATACAATTTATGGAGTGCTCACTGTGTGCTGAACTCTTGAGCACATCTAACACAAATCCACAAGTGTTCTTGAAGGCCAAGTGTGTGCCTAGCAGTGAGGCAAGATGCTGGAGAAAAGTGGAAATCTTATTAGCTACCAAATACAGAGTGAAACAAGATATACTCTTTAAATAAAGCATGGTGCTTATCCTCAGGGAATTTATAACCACATTGAAAAAAATGAGCTATTTTTCCTTAAAAGGGATATGGGAAGGCAGGATAAAAAAATAAAAAGTTCAGTAGAGACTAAATTGGCATTGTCTGAGAAAGCTGCATGGAGCAGGCAGGACATGTAGAGAGCCTTGAATTGAGGAAAGGCTTATGAAGTCAGCAAGGTCAAAAATGTAAATTCGAGAATAAGCAGAGGGGATAGGGTTGTGGCTCACTGGCAGAGTGTTTGCCTAGCACATGTGAGGCACTGGGTTAGATCCTCAGCACCACATAAAAATAAGTAAACAAAATAAATAAATAAAATAAAGGTATTGTGTTCATCCATAAATATACATATATGTGTGAATATATATAAAATATATAAAAATAATTTATATATAAATTATATATAATAAATATATACATAATTTATATATAAAATTAGAGCATATAAATAATTTACATATATGCAAATTATTTATATATATGTAAAATTGAGAAGCCAGAATAAGAAGTTCAGACTTGATTCCATAAATCATGGAATACTTTTCAAACAAAACAAAAATTATAGAACTATTATATCAAACAGCAA